GTTTAAAAAAATAAAATAAAATAAAAGCATATCCGCTTGGATAGGTCTTTTGCACTGGTAGCTAAAGAAAAAAATGATTCCATGCCTTTAATTGCACTTGTTACATTCTGTTCCCCAACCCCTGTCTTCCTGTTCTTATTTTATAGCGTTATTAGTCCTATGGATACTTGTCCTAGGCTCTTAGTTCTCACTCACATTTACAACACTTGCTCACAAGGCACAAAACCATCCTGAGTTGGTGCGATCCCAAGGAACTTCTAGAATTAGCGCCCCTCCCCGCCTCCTGCCACCCCACCTCCACCCCAGCATGGATGGAAACCAGGCTCCTCCTTCCCAGGTCAGCGTTCGGGTTAGCCCATTGTTTGCCACGATTGTTATCCACTGCTGCAGGCAGCCATGATGTTAAATTATCGCCTCTGAATTTTTTGGACAAATGCCCTCAGGGAAAATACTGTTCATGCTGGGTGAGCTCTGAATCAGGTCACAGAAAGACAGTCTCATGAGTGAGGTCTTCCAGGAAAGCACGAGACAGGTCAAATCGTGATGATTCCCTGGGAATGGGGCTTTGGAGTTGCTCCAACCCCATTCTGCTTCCTTCAGTGGCTGCCAGGCTGCTAATTTTCACTGTGATTGTGGGCTCTTGGTTCCCGAGACTACCATGGAACTAGGGATGGGGGGGAGAGGACTAGGGCAAGTTAAACTGCAAAAAACTCACTGTTCTTACTGAGATTCAGCCTTTTTTTGTTGAATAAATGCTACCTACATGGCCTTTGGCTGACGTTTAGAGCTCTGAAAAAGTTGATTCAGACAAATTTCGCCAGTGTTCTTGTTGCTTTTATAAAGGAGGAAACTTCCAGGCGTCCTTATTTCACAGTTTTTGCTGATGCCCTCCATCTTCCACCTCTACCATGCCATTTAGCACAGAATTGACTTACGTCATTATGATAAGTGAATATTTATATTATTTTCTTAATTTAGAAATTTGGAAAACTTTTATCCTTTGTTATAAGCTTGATAGTTTCCCAATAGTTCAAAATTGTTCTTATACAATCAGTAGTAATATTAAGGAATGGGAATCTTAAAAATATTGTATATTGAACCATATTAATATTTGGAGATCTTATGAACCAAGTTTTTCCAAATGACTAATACGTGATGTTACAAAATCATACATGGGTTAGAGAGGTATGTAAAATACAATGCAGACCAATGGATTCTATGTAACAAGTATGAAAAATTCACTGGTATGGTTTCAGATTCCACATTGCAACTAATCTTTGTGTAGTATCAAAGAGGTTATCTGCAATCATATGAAAAGACCATTAGAATACTGCTTCCTTTTCCAACTACATATCTGTGTGAGGACAGATTTTCCTCATAATACTTCGACCCAAACAATGTGGTGTATCACACTGAAAACAGAAGCAGATACAAAAATCCAGCTGTTTCCTATTAAGCCACATGAAAAAATGTAAAGCAGTACCACTCTTCCAATTTTACTTTGTTTTGGAAAAATATGGGTATTTTTCATAAAAATATGTTATTTATGCAAACATGTAATGAGTTAATTTTTGTTATTTTTGAAGGGATAAACAAATGTTTTTGATTTTTCTCAGTTTTAATTTTAATATGGTCAACATTGATGGATATAACCTCCATAAACAAACATTCTTTAAGTGTTCAATTATTTTTGAGGGTTTGAAGGGGTCCTGCTGCCAAAATGTTTGAGAACCTCTGGTTTAGGCTAATTCCAGAAGGTTCAAGCTCAGAAGAAGCTCCATCTACTTAAGGTCACATGCATCCCTTTTTCTCTGATATGGAAATGTTTAACTTAGAAAGAACCTAGAGTATTCAGGCAAGATTTTCACAGCAAAGTGGAAGAAGGCTGCTGTCTCCTTCAGGCAAAAGGAAAGGTATGCAAGGAGAGAATGCAATTAATTGTTCAGGGAAATTCTTCCAGGATGGTTTTGCATTCCTGTCAAATCACTGTGGGGCACACTCTGCCAGCATCTTGCAAAGATTCTAAACCCCGATGCTACGTTCATACCATTTCAGCAGGTACCACTGAAGTCCCTTTTTTGAACTCCCTTTGTCCTCCTGGACTGCACCGTACAGCTTGGCACAGAACTGACCCACAAAATCCTCTGAGAAATTTGCAGTATCTCCCCCCGGTAGATTTTTAGTCATTTTAGGGCTGGACATGATGTCTCCCCCGTCTCCCTGACCCTTCTTCAGCTCTTACCATCATATTGGTTCATACTCTTGTTGTCAGTTGACCCATCAAGATGAAAACTTAGAATAGAAAGATTTTATTTGCAAATATGATCTCTCTCTACACGCTATCATTTCCCTTCTCTGAATGTCCGTTTTCTAACAGGATTCACAGAGCCAAGCAACAGAGTCAGAGGCTCTGGTTTCCTATCCGAGCTCCACCACTTACCTACTTTGTCACTTTGGGGAAATGGCTCCTTGGAGCCTCAGTTTTGCAGACAGGGAGCAGCTAGCACACTGTATAATAGAGGAGGTATTCAGCAAAGGCTGGGTTCCTTGCCCCATTTTCTCCACCTCCTTGTTAGGATGTTTAGAGATAATTATTAGGGCATGCCAACCGCAAACCATAACTCTCTCAAAGGCACTCATTAGCCAGTGAGAAGTTAATTATACTTAATCCAGTTCCTTTTCCTCTTTAATGTACTCAGGATGACTTGTAAATCTTATATCAGCTAAAACACACGTTCCATAAAGTCCCACATTACTAAATCATAACATTTCCCGACCTGTTAATATAGTCATTCAGAAGTTAATATATTTAATTCATTTATCTTCTCCATATTTTTCTCAACTTTGTTTCGTTTCCCATCCTTGATTCTGGAGAATCATCTCTATTTCCTCCTTTATTGCTTTCTTACCTGGTCCTTTGTGCCTCTTGGTCTTATTTTCCTCTCTTCCTTTTCCTTCTTCCCACGCAAGTTATAGTACCTTCAGGATAACTGGTTTGTCCAGCAGAGGGACCATGGCCTGGATAAATCAGGAAGTCACAATTACTTGGGATTTTCTAGTAGCCCATGGTGCTGTTTTACACCCCTTGTAAGCTCTCGACTGAGGCCAGATCTCCAAGAGCTAATCAAAAAGAGGCATGAAGGGAATGACGTGGGCAATGTGAAACTCATGCAAAAGTCATTTTCTCTTCATGCCTCCCTCAGCTTTAATTGAAGAGACCTAAGCCTAATTAATGGTGATGAGGATGAGGGTGGATCAAGGACAATTTGTAGCAGAATGCATCTGGGAACTTGAAAAGTAAATTCTTAGGCCCTTTACTCAGATTCTGATTCAAGAATTTTGAATGGAGTTCCCTGATAATTCTTCTGCATACTTCTTGAGAACCAGCGATAACCTGGTCTTAGCACTGCCTCATCCTTTCTTTTTTTTTTTATTATGTTTGACCTACAACACTGTGTAAGTTGAAGGTGTACAATATATTGATTTGATACGTTTATATTGCAATATGACTGCCATAGTAGCGTTAGCTAATACCTCTCTCACATCACGTAATTATCATTTTAGCACTTTTACATTCTTACAGAGTACATGTGGCATAAAATTTCTGCTTTACAAAGTCCCTTCACATTGATTTTTTTTTTTCATTTGAACCTCAGAATAACTTTGTGAAATAGACAGGAGCAGGTACTGTTTCCCCTGGAAATTTGCCCTAAATTTTAGTCTCCCCAGGCTGTTGGTCAGGGCAAATCCAGAGATTAGCTTTGGGTCAGGCTTGGCCAACCTCGGCCACCCCTGAATGTCTTCTACTTGGGAACCAAGTTACCAAAAGAAACAAGGTATTAATAAAATTGGAATCAGTCTATGATTTCTGAAAATGAGGCCTATGTGAGCAGGCACCCAACGACTGAGGGCTTACGAGCACATGAGCTCAGGAGACAATGAGGTCCCTCCAGTAAGGAAGAGAGAGGATAAGGAAGACGGTGTCCCATAGCTGTAAGCGTCTAACACTGACCCTCCTGGGTTAGATATTTGTGCATCTTTTACATGCACCAGTCAGTAAAGATCTGAGCATCATCTCTAAGTCGAGCCAGACCCTCAGCTCCTGCCTTCTGAAAGTGGTTGCCTCTGAGCTGGATAATACATAGCGTGAGATCAGCAGTGTTACAATTACAATGAGGTCAAATGAGATAAATAAGAATGCAAATATAAAGCAAGTATAACAAGTTTTTATTGGGACTGCAGAGCCTGGATAAGGGTCTTAATGGTAAAGGTCAGCAAAGCAGGTCAGGCTCCAGGCTCCATGTGGCTCCAGTCAAGAAAGGGAGGAGCCACCGAGCACCATCCCTCATGGAGCAGGGAGGGAGAGCAGGTTTGGTGTGATCCAGGATTCGGTTTCTTCCCTGCTGGGCCAAAGCCAAACACCTGGCGGGTCTTGGTCAGGATGGCATGTGGACATTGGTTTCCAACCAGAGGGGTTCATGGCTGTGATTTAGGCTTTAGAATCATGTTAAATTAAAGAGGAAATGGCACTATGCTTCATACACATAGTCCTAGTATGGTATCATCTATACAGCCTCCTGGCAAGAACCATGCCTTCTTAGCATGGTCTTAAAAAAGAGTTACTGCTTATACTATTCCACTACAGGAGTTAGAGTACTTTAGTTATTTGTGTATAATACCTTACTCCAGAAAGTAATGCTTTTTCAAACTCCCATAACATAGAATGACTTAAAATAAAAGGAGAGAAGACGAAACTAGAATATAAAACGTTTCTCCATTCATCTGAGTAATTCATAGCATTTTCAGTTTGGGGTAAGATCGTGAAGAGTCTTAAGGGAAACTGCTGAGCATCTCAGCCAGTTGCCTCTGACCACAAACCCCTTCCTAGGGGAACCACAGATCTCCTTGAGTGTGCAGGAAAACCATGGTCATTTTCTGTGTGTGCCATGAGGCAAGAAATGTAGGCATGCAAACTTACCTGTATCTTCTCTTCATCCTAGCCGTACCCAAAATGACGCTGCTATTTATCAAATCTCTGCTAAAAACTGTTTGGGGATGATCTGCTGCTCTGCAGTGAAGATCCATTGAAGTGGATCTTCAATCCACGGAAGCGGAGTGTCCGTCAGAGAATCAACAGCTCTCTCTTAACCCGAAAGATGACAGGAACACAGTTTGCAAACATGAGACCTATGAGCAGGAAAGCACACATCAAATTGATGAGAAGGAGCATCCTATAAGGAAGAAGAAAGTATTGCCTCGGGTCCTCCCGCATCAGCTGACTCCCCCTCCTCCAAATTCAGTGGTGTGTGTTCACTCCAGCTGTTGGCTGATAATGACCTTGGTACATCCAGTTCTGAAAATCCCTTGGATGTTAAAGACATGAGGCAAACTGAAGAGGCTCGTGATCCCGATAACACAGAGGACGTTGCAGAGGGGTTGCTTTGTTCTAATTCAAGTAATATTCCCTATAAACAAGATGTGTGTGGCCACAGGACAGTGCATTCCAAACTGTCAAGGTTAATGGATGGTGCCTTAGACACTAATGGCCCTAATGAAGAAGTCTTCAACTCTAGTCATCAAAATCCCACAGTACAGAAATACATCAGCTTTAGCCTACCGCTGATGGAGGCAGCCTCATCCACTTCCCCAGGTGACAGGGCCACGAGCAACAAGCCTGTCAGCTGCCCGGCTTCCAGCACAGACTTTGACAGTGATTATGAGCTCTGCTCAGAGATAACCCTAACCTACGCCGAGGAGTTTTCAGACAATGACCTGGAGTATCTGGAATGTTCCGACGTCATGACAGATCACTCTAATGCAATTTGGCAAAGGGACCTGCAGGGGACTGAGCGTGTTTTTTTATTAGAAAGCGATGATGAAGAGATGGAATTCAGTGAGTGTTGCCTGGGTGGATGTGAGCATTTCCTCAGTGAAATGGGCTGTGAGCCCCTGGTGTCGGATGACACCGGGCCTATGGATGCCACCGCTGGCCTCTGTGGTTATCACTCACCATCCCAAGAAGTGGAGGTACAGAGCAGCCTAGCCTCCATGCACAGTGCCTCATCCCCGCAGACAGGGATGACCCTGCCTGTGGGACCTCACCAGGATGGAACGTCTATGGTGACAGACCAGGGGAGATGTAAACCACCCACTGCTCCTGAAGCTACTGAAGATGGCTATCCAGGAATTCAAGGGGAAACCAGAGACGGCCACCAGGCAAGAAAGGAATTTGCCAGTGACAATCTGCTAAACATGGATAAAGCAGTAACAGAGAGAGAGAGGAAGCACTTATCTGGTGAGTTAGGAAAATCAGGGATGAACCAGTGTTTGGAGACTGTGGCTGAGAAAAGAGTAGGGGGAAAAGACTTATTGAGCCGGACGGGCTCAGAGAAACCTGCCAGGACGAGGCGACCGGGGATTAAGGGAAAAGCCAAGAAGCTGAACCCCAACCTGGAAGAAAGGGCAACAGAAGCCTCCCTGAATCGCCTGTATCCCAGAGGACCTGTTAAGCACCCATTAACCCCAAGTGACAAAAGAGAGAGTTCCCATGCCAAAGCAGAAGCGACTGGTTTGAATTCCCAGTTCCATGCAGGAGGCTGTGCTATTCCAACCCAAGCAGAGCAAGAAGCAAAAATCCTGCAGACTCCACCAAGCTCACTCTCCAAAGAAGGGAACTTGGACTTGCAGGGAAAAGGAGTGTGGGTTAAAAACGTACTTGAAACAAGCAGGATTCCAGACTGGAGTGATCATCCTCAGGTAAGACTCCTCTTTTAAAAAATTATAAGCGAAAATGTATTTGTGCATGTGCACGTGTGTGTATGTCCCTTCCCTTCACATTCACAATTGCAGTTCCACAATGTACATCAAAATGGTTCTTCCAGTACCATCAGGGTACTTGTGAATGACAGGGGCTGCTGCTGGGAAGGAAATCTGGTTTTGAATAAAGGCCCAGATAAACCCTAAGCCATCCTAATTATAGCAAAAGACAGATAGAAGTAAGAGGCACTAATAGGATTCTGGACAGCTGGAAAAAGAAATTTGATATTTTGTCACTGCATGTGTTTTACCAGGCAATGTCGCTATTTAGAAAGTTTTTAAGCAAATGTTTTGGGTGTAGCTTGTAAAAAAAAAAAAACCAAAACATTCTTTTTAGTAATGTTTTGGGGCAGTTTGAAAACTGGTAAGTGCTGGCTTTTATCAGAATTCGTAGTATGGATGAAAGATTTCTGTGTGTCTAAATGATTTGCAGAATTCACTTGATGCTGGAGAAAGTAGATAAAGTAGATTTTGCTGTGCTCAAAAATCAGAGTAGGTTTTTGAATGAATGTCTGTTTTATTTTATTTTTCTTAGACCACAAAGTATTAAAGAGGCTAAGAAAACACAACAGGAAGCCAAAAAAAAAAAAGTTTTACTCTATTACTGATGTGGGGGTGTATTTGAAAAAGATGCAGTTGAATTAATGGGAATAATTAATGTACAAATGTTATGCTTGATATATGAACTTATTATATTTATAATTTTAAAGGGTTCCAAATGGGCTTTGAACTGATGCTATGCTATGACCAAGATTTGGTTTTTGGAAATAAATACCTAAGAAAAGTTATTTATCAATTATTTTTACTCAGCCTCTGTTCTCCCTTCTCCCAACTTTGTGGTTGGGACCTAGTATTGTTTTTATAGAAGACTAGATATACTCCAAAGAAAATTAAGTATTCCCAAATGCATTCAAAGTTATTGAACTCCCTTTGTGTAAAAGTAAAAATTTAATATATTGATTTCTAAAGACCCAGTCATAAAATAGCCTAAAAAATCTAAAAATCTCCAGATCCCGGGTAGTTTTTTTCCTGAGCAAATTGTTCTGTTCCACGGGCCAAATTAGCTGTATAAAGGTCACATCTATAATTTACTTCTTTGCAGGAGTGCCAGCTTTATCCTTTTTCGTTGTTTAACACACCAATGACCACAGATTCATGCCCAAGAGGAGTTTATGGAGGCGGTTTGGCCAAAAAGTAATACAAAATTAAGTTATAATGTAAATTTTTCCATGTCAATAACTATAGCATTTCCCTTTCTACTCATAAAATGCTCTTCCTGACTCAGCTAAGTGTCTTTTCACAGTCGTTTATCCATGTTGAGCGTTTCACTGGGCAAATTACTTCAATTATTAAAGGTTGAGTGTGGAGCAAGGGGAAGGGGGGAGCAAAGTGGCCCAAAAAAAGTAAGTGAAGGAGAGGGGGCTATTGACAATGTTAGTTTTAGACCCATCACTGTGGGAGGCAATGCCTATCTCCCTCAGCTGCCAAAAGTTGAGAGGCGCTCAAGGAAGGAGCCCCCTTTGTCATCCTGAATTCTGAGATGGAGAGCCCTGGGGACCAGGAAGCTCACTTGTTTCCTGGCAACGCAGTGAAATAGAAGGGGCGGTCCCTGGGACACTCTTGTCTCTGCCAAACTTCTAATGGGACTCTTGCTCACACAGTCACACATTCATGGATGCACACCTACCTTGCCAGCTATCAGCTCAAGGTCCCATCTGTGGTTTCACACATGACCAAGGCAATTATCTCAGGACACTGAACATGAATTTTTAGAAAGCTTGCATTCTGCAGATAGAGGGGCCATTTCTCACTCTGCTGTTCACAGTAGCAGAGTCGACCTCTCACTCAAGGAACAATGTGAGTAGAAGCTATATATTAAGTAGTTCCGTGTAGCCCCAAGTTAGAAATAGGGTCTCTGTACCTGTGGCATTTATTGACCCTTAACTAAAGCAGGAACGTTCTGCCACAGGTATAGTGGCATAGTGAGTGCAGATTTCTTTTACCCATGCAAAAAGTTACTCTCTAACTGTAGGAGATGTCTGTATTTCTTACACATGTACGCAGCATAGCCAAATTTACAGGAAATGGCTAAATATCATTGCAAATGTGACACCAAAGCATTAGGGGGTCATTGGGAACTAAATCAAATTTTTTATAATATTGCTAAAAAAAAAAAAAAAACCAGCCCAAGATTGGTGAATCTTTCCATAACTAAGTCAAAAGACATTTAAAATATTTATTCTCAGACATCTGAGGCTCGTGGGAACTTAAAATTTGAAATGGTTAAAAATCCTTGGTTGAAGGTAACATTAATAAATTTGCCCTCTCCTGACTCTTGCCTGATTCACTTCCTTGAAGGTGACTAGCAGTAGAAACAGTGACCAGCATCTTATCTTTTAGTATTTTCTCTTCATCTGTGTATTGCTTTTAGCATGCTGAGAAAAATTCCATATCTCTAATATCTCTAATTCAAGAACAAGGCAAACGTGTAGACTAAACTGAATCCAGGAGTCCTTACTTGCTGTCTTCCTTTCCCACTCTAACAAGGCAAAGCATCTTGTTCTGATTTGTCTTGAAATAGTACTTACCCAGGCTAAGACTGAAAAGCCCCCAGTTGCTCTACATTTATGGAAGATTCCTAAATTAATCCCAGTTTGGGAGTGGAAAACGGAAAGGGTACCCCAGGCTAACTTGAATCATCTTCAAGGGTCACACTGCCAATCGTTCACCTTGGTTCTGATCTTGCTTTCTTGATCCAACTCAGAGGCAGGGCCGGCCAGTCTGCCCCTCTTAAGTTTCCCTGTAGCCACACTGGGGTAAGATCATCCTCACTCTTAAATCAGAAGTACTGTGTCTGTCCTTCTGCATAGCTGCCCAGCTTCACCCCAGAGAGATTTGCATTGCTCTTTGGGATCATGGGAACTCAAGTGTACGGTATGGAAATGTATTCTTAGGTTCTGATAGTTAAGAATCTTCCTGACCAGGAATCAGCATGAAGGGTGAGCTCCATGATGGTAGTGGATTTGGTCACTGTTTTGTTCACTGAAATGTCCCAAGTCCTTGGAATAGTACTGGTCACGTAATAGGCACTCAATAATTGAATGAGTAAATAGCCATATGGTACTAGATAACTAGATTGAGTCCTCTCCCTTTTTTTCTTGATGAGTCTGGCTAAAGGTTTGTCTATTTTGTGTATCTTCTCAAAGAACCAGCTTTTAGTTTCACTCATCTTTGCTATTGTTTTCTTCATCTCTATTTTATTTATTTCTGCTCTGATCTTTATGATTCCTTTCCTTCTACTAACTTTAGGTTTTGTTTGTTCTTCTTTCTCTAGTTGCTTTAGGTGTAAGGCTAGGTTGTTTGAGACTTTTGTTTCCTGAGGTAAGATTGTATTGCTATAAACTTCCCTCTTAGAACTGCTTTTGCTGTGAATTCCAGGTATAGTCATGTATGATTCTAATAATCATTGGTCTCAACTACTTTATGGCCTTCGTTGTCATAAGTACATTCCTTGGTTCCCCTCATATACCACCTTTCCACTAGGAAATTGCTACCCATTGCTCTTCTGGCCCTGGGGATGGATTGGTTTATGCTAAACTGACCACACTTTGCATTCGGCTTCCTTGTGAATGCTGGTAATTCAGATACAACCTTGGCCTTGTTGGTGGCTTATCAGCTCTCACAGATTGCTAACTAGATCCAGGAAGATCTTACCACATCCCCCTAGCATTCAAGACCTTCCACAATATTGCTTCTATTTACCTCTGAGAGGCAAAGCAGACGTACACACTGGCTACCTTATCTGGAAAAGGAAGACTTTTCTCAGAATGTGTTTTTTCCATCTTCTGGTCTGGAACGCCATCACTCAGCTTGTTGCTAGCTCAGCTCACCTACTCCTTCAAGGCCAAGGTGCAGGTCCTTCAAATTGTACTTCCCCTGAAGCACTTTCCTCATCCCTAACTATGATTTCTCCTTCCAGAGAAACAGCATGCTTGTCCTCATTCTTTGTATAGCGTGGTGAGCTCTGGACCTGAGTTTGGTTCCTGCCCTACTGCTTTCTGACTCTGTGCCCTGGGAAAAACTACTTAAGCTCTCCCAGCCCCAGTTTCCTCATCTAAAACATAATAATAACAATAATAATAACAACCACCACCACCTCACAGAGTGTTGTACGGATTAAATGCTCAGCACAGTACCTATTATGCAGTTAACATTTAATAAGTATTTTCATTTTTCAATTTATTATTTACCTTCTTAATCCATATGTCCTTTCTCCCCATATCAGCCTCCTTTTGGCTGGCTACAAGAGGATTTAATACCTTTTTTTAATTGAAATTTTTAATGAGATATTGTACGTGCACATATAGTTGTAAGAAATGAGACAGAGAGAGCGCTGTACACTGTGCCCAGCTTCCCCCGATGGTAACATTTGGCAAAACGGTAGCATAATTTTCACAACCAAGACATTGACATTGATACCATCTGTTGATCTTATTCAGATTTTCCCAGTTTTACTTGTGCTTCTGTATGTGTGTATGTATGTGTGTGTAGTAAGATCTATAGAAATGTGTCACTTGTGTAGGCTCATGTGACAAATGTGGTAGGAAAGTTCATTTAAGTGCAGCCGAGTAGCTAGACGGGCAGTGTAATAACACGGTACATGGCAGCTTGAAATGTGCATGGCCACCCAGTGACAGGCAGACACAGGTCTCCAGTAAAATTCTTTTAAAGCATAGGAAAATATAAGCTGATAATCTAAACCTTCTTGCAATACAGTTTTCATATCTGGGACAGAACAATCTGAGACCCGACTTCATCTGCATAATAAAATGCATCACCCCAAATAACAACTGTTAGCGCTGACTCAGGAAGGCGGATAAGCCAGCTCTCTGCTGATGATGGAAAGGGCCGAAGTTTATAATCACTCGTCTCTCAGAACG